TGCTCATTTACATATCATTATCGATTCATACACCATGGTTTCTGTTATTTTACATTTCACACTCGACCTAATTATCTGAATGCTACTCAAATTAACTCTTAGTTAACATAAATCTTATGACCTTTCACACATTTTGTGTAACCCCTCTTAGTATGTTGAATACACTTGTCTCCCCCATCTTATCCAGCTTCCATTCTGCAATATTCGTCTAATCGTTCTATGCATTGGAGAACTTAGCTCTGCATATTTACTCACTCACTTCGTGTGTTTTCAATTACTTCATATCGATATTATCTGTGATTCAAGCTACCAATTATCTATCAAACTGACTCGAGTATGTAAAAGTTTTGTATAAATTGATATTAAAATTGTTTTAGGTAGTAGGCGGCTGATGAGAAACCACGAAATAAGACAGATCCATGCTATTCTGTTAAAGCTATTTTTCTCGCCTTTCAAATATTTGAAGTGGCTTTATAGAGGTGGTGGCCGAATGATATCAGCATTTGTACGATGAAATCTACTGTCTGGTCATGGATATCTGCCGGTAGGTGACCGTGTAATTTTGATCGCTTGCAAACTACTTAAGATATGGATCATTGTCAAAGATCTCGATTATTATTTGTCCATATATGTTGGTCAGTAATTTGGTTTGCCGCAGACCGAAAACCGAGATGAGAAACGTCATGAGCTTTAGAGAAAATTAATCGTCTCATTGATAAAGATTCGCGTAGATATGGTCTAGATACATCACAAGTGATGGATAGAGAGTCAATAAATATCAATTCTTCTTGTATTTAGACCACCTTTTAATTGCTTTATATCCTCTTCAATCAGCTACAACTTTGCCATTTCTACGAAGTGGATATAGGTGCTCTCGAAGGTGTTTAATTAGATACATGATAAATTATCAGATACCTCATTTCTGTTAACTTTAATATATCTTATGTCAGAAATAAATTGCGAAATTAATTCCAAATGCTGTATTTCTCGTGGCGAATAGTTATCATGCTTTGCGTCAATCCCTTTTGTAAGAGGCTTATGGTCTGTGAATACTGTAAAAACGTAACCTTCGAGCGTATATATGAAGAGCTTGATAGCTACGTAAATAGCCAATAACTCTCTTCTGAATGTACCGTGTTGCGACTGTAAGGCATTAAGTCGTTTTGAAAAGACAACGGTTCCCACCGACCACGGACGTTGTTGTAAGAATGTACCTACGGCAACATTTGAATCGCATATCATGATTTCTTAATGGTGCTTCTGGGTCGCAACGAGATAGGAGTTCCAGAACTTAGATCAAGCTTCAGTTTTTCACATGCATGAAGGGTAGCTTTGACCTTGTGAAATACCCTAGCTCGTCCATCCAACAAGTATGTTAATAGTTTAGCTAATTTAGTACGGTTAGGGTCTAGAACGATGATCAAAGTTTATCAACTTAATGAATTTGTGTATCTTGTGAAATGAGTGTAGAACACGATATTCTTTAATTGCTTATACTTCTTGTGGAACCCATTTAAAATCGTTGGCATTCACTGTCTCATAAGCTACATTGATTCCTTTCCGAATTCACATATCTGCCAGTTCCTTGTTATTCCATATTCACACGATCGCTCAAAAAGCGTTCTTTGGTACTGCAGCTGTTTTGTTTCAGATGTGCTGCCTAGTAGTAAGACGTTTATATATGTACTGATGAAAGGTAAACCATGAAGTACCAGATAACTTAATCTTTAGAAAGTTTGAGCAGCATTTGTCAGGTAAAATGACATACAAATGGGTTCGAAGAGAATAACGATTGCAGTCCTAGGAACGTCACTAAGTTCCACAGATATATAGTCATAGGTTCTCACGAATAACTTTTGGAGAAAGTATTTACTTCCATCATGGAGTTCATAAAATCACGTATATATGCGATACGAAATCTATCAGCGACCGTGCGCTTAACGCTCTATAACCACCACAAGGTCGCAATTCACTGCATGCCTTTTTGGGAAAAATATGTAGGGATGATGATAATTAACTCTTGAAAGCGCGTATTACTTCCAGCTTCAGAAGTTTATCGAGTTCCTACTTTGCTATCTGCAGTCTTTCGGCATCTAAGTGATGTTTTGTATCACTTTTTCGAAGATGACAAGGAGTACATACATCACCATTTTGACCGATTTTCAGTCGTGTTACCAATGGTCCTCAGCCATTGATTCGCATTGTCGCAGTGACCTTAGTCAGGCAGTCTACAACTCCTAGCCCGAACTCAGATACTTCATAGACTGATGCTACTTCTTGGTCTGGTCACCTTGGACCTTCTTCTAGCTCAATCCTACTTCGGCTGGCACTGCACGTCGAGGTAGGCGGTGGTTCGTCATGTGCAACACATGTTCAACAAGCCACCACAGTCAGTTAAGATACAGTCTCATCGGCTGACTTACCTTCCTTACTTAGAAGTCTTGTTGAGCCCATATGTGACTCCTATCTTTACATGTTCCCGAAATACTATCGCTTTCCTTATTATCTCATTCACAGCTAGTTTCTCTGCGTCAAACAATGTAAAAGCAGGAGATAACGCAAAGCGTAAGCTGGGATACTGAATTGTCAATCAATAAATTCGGAACCAGCAAGGAGACAGAATTTCCTAAGTTACGACAATTGAACAAGTGTCAAGTTATAAGATCAGTGTTACATGTATCAACAAGTATAATATGAAATGGTTATCATAGTCTGGCCCTAACCTGAATCTTACTCACATGATGAATCCGCCACACGTGAGCAATGCAACGAAGTAACCTTCGGTCAAGAAATGTAACCATTTTATATCTACCTTCAAAAAAATGCCTCAGACGTATAGCAAGAGAGAACCCGTTATTGTGCACTATAATCTCCCTTTGTAATGCTATCGGATATCTCACCCATGTCGTTAGTTGTCAAGTGAAAAAGGGCCTTCTGTATCTGAGCTAAGACTTTGTCAGTGACCAGCCCGATCGGCTGATACAACTCCCCTAATAAGTGAAGTGAACAGCACATTTTCACCTCTTCATGCCCTAACTATAAACTAGGAGTTGATGCAAACCAATCATGAGGCATTATATAAAATTTTACGCGAGGGAAACATATACCAAGTATACTCAGGTTTTCGCTCAGCATGTTCAGACTACCCTACATTTTGTCAGGTGTCGCCAGACAGGACTATGTGGTCTGCCCTCCAAGCAGATAGGAGTTCGAGGCACGTAGTATGACACTCGTCGGTGGATAACCACAAAGTTGCTCCAGAACGGCGTCAGTGGACACCATCAATTTCCGTAGACGACAACTCTACGTAAGTAATCACGGATTAAGAGTTAAATTTTAGTGCATCGTAAACACTTGCCACCTATTCGACAGTTGCACGTGTAGCTTACAGCAGAAAGATAGGCTCTTTCCGGTGAAACTCATTTTCAAATGCATCTGATCCGCATTCAGTGGGTAAGCTAGGAAAGATTACAAAAAGACTAAGGCAAATCTCACTGTTTTTAAATCCAGTCTTAAAGTCACAATCTGACCTAACAGTTCACATATATCCGTTAACTGTGATAAAGTAAAACATTGCTCTTTTAGTTTTATGACTAACTGTTACACTTGCATGTGAAAGATAAAATAAGACAGACGTCAAATAAACAGAATTCTATAGGCTCATCGTATTTGTCAAACGTCTCGCAAACACTGCATATATGCACGGGTTATGACGCCCCAGTTGAGCATAGTGAAACTTGCCTGATTTGATGGAGGCTGTGAAGCACGGTTAAACAGAGGGATGGATTGTTACTAATGATCCCAGGATAAGAAATTCTTGGCGACCTGGTGTTGGTGACAGGAAAAGGCATTGAAGATAAATGTAAGAATGTTAGGTTAGATGAAAGCATGCATTATGTTGGTACCCGCTGGTCGTCCACATCCTGGAGGCTGCTGGTTTCGGATGATAAATGAAAGAGAATACAAAAGAAACCCATGTTTAGCAGGAAGTGTACTGTTTATAGAATCAACTCTTTATAACCCCTTTTTCCGATGAGAGAAAGCAGTATCATCATAGAGGGCCTGCCATCCGCAGAAGACAAAAATACTACTGCCATCATACCCCGTCAACCCTACATTGCGATTTCACCCTCGGACCCCTTTCATAGCGTAAGCTACTTATGCTAGTGGTAACTGCGGCTCAAAGAAAGTCGACTTATTTTCTCTAGCTGAGTGTTGAACGAGTTTCGCACTCGTCATTGTCAGCCTACATGCATATATGGGGACCGTTTACACACCTCTTAACGCAGTACAGCAACCCAAGCATCTACTGCCTCATTATCGAAAACTGCATTCCCAAATTGCTACGCTTCAAATTCCAATGTGTCAACATTTAACATGGTATATGTAATCAATCATTTGGAACAACACAGTCAATGATCTCTCCTGGGTTCATCGGATCCTGTTTTTTGAATTCAGCCGCTAGTGTTAATTCGAATGATTGCTTCTTTTTATAGGAATATACCAAGCTAATGCAGTTTATCCAGCTTGCCATGCTCAGCAACCACGGGCATCCCAAACACGTACTCATCGGTTTCGCGTTCACATGACTGATTGATCTAATGATGCAGGTAGTGGAGATACCAGCTTTTTTGTTAAGGCAACCGTTCAAATAAAACTACTGCTAACATGATGCGCAGTAGAATGTCACCCGTATACGCTGTGCAATTATTTCAAGTCCTGACGACAACAAGCACCGTCATCTGATTCCATGCCTTTTTGTCAGAAATTACTTAAGTAATCCCTTTTATCAACAGTCTACATGTTTCGTATCTTACACATAAATTGTTGTGCTTAGCGCTTTCCCATTAACTTGTTTCAAGAAAAATACTACTGCGAATTTACGCTGTACTGAGAAGTCTCTTGTGATTAGTTAGTATTTTATTTGTGTATAAGAAAATCTAGTAATACAGTTGAAGCGAAATCTCGTTTTATGATTTTAACGCGACCGTTCGATTTTTTCACAGACAATCCTCCCAAGGAGACCACAAATGTCCACCTAGATAACATGAACAAAAACAATGGTGGTTACTCTTTAGTTGTTAGGGTTATTATTATGACTAGTTTTAGCAAGCAAAATAAAAACCAGACAAATCAACACAAAACCTAGAACCGAAGAGCACTAGCTCAGAAAAAGTACTTCTGCATAAAGTTTCCTTTGACAAAAACAATGGGACAGGTTCAGTAAGTAAACTTAAGGACACAAGCAGACACTATGACAAAGAATCCCAGTGACTTGACGTGCAGGAAGCCGCATTTTGTAATAGCTATCAGTGTCAAAGGAACTTAGAAGTATCCACACTCATTAAGATTCCCAGTTCACAGATGTGCGTCTTCTCCTAATGTTGTCATCAGGTGCAAGCGTTGGTGTCCACTCAGCTAACTACAGAGCAAGAGAATAATCGGTATCATATTAAGCTTATTGACAGATATCATAAAACATTTCAAGGAGATCGCATTGTTATTTAGCGGTCTATACATCTTATCGTAGTAGATTTCCGGATAAAGGACGATCAAGCAGTTGCCTAGATACAAAAAAAGTGACTTTTGAAGGAGACTCGTAAAATAATGGTATAAAAAACGTACTGTATTCATGAACTAATTGTGGACAGTCGCGTTGCACGTGTCCCTTCCGCCCACAACTGTAGCATGTTTTGTTGAATAAAGGCTTGATCTCCCGTGGGACATTGCGTTGTTTAGAGGCTGGGCCATCGACTGTGCGACAGCGTTCTAAGATTGCACCAATCGAGTCATACTTTTCGGACCCTATTGCTTGTTGATACTTTTGGAGCAACCCTCGAAGGAAGGATGATTTGATTTCCCAATCTTGCTCTGGGCCTGGAGGTAAACTGCGCTGAACTACTTCACAAACCCTCAAGTACCATTGATGTGGCGTTTCTCCCTGTCGTTGAGATGCCGTTGATAGGTATCTGATCATGCTTAATTCATTTAATATTTTTTCGCCATACAACAGTGATGATATGTACGGCCAATCTTTGCGCGACAAATCGGAATTATCTAGTATGCGTTGCAAAGGAGAATCACATAGAATACGTAAACGTTGGATCTTTTCCTCATCGCTCCATCCTTCATCCACTCCTGTCTTCCAAAATCGAGGAAGCATCTGACGAACGTTGTCTGGTGTAATTATTACAAGTGGAACGCCTTTTTTTCATCATTAATAGTATGCATTTTAAACAGTACGGATAGATTTGACAAAGCTAATCTTTCATGATCCACTTGAATCTGTTTTCTAGATGCATCAGTAATAAGATCAGAGGATTCTGAGTCCGATATTTGTGGCCTGGTTGAAAAACCTCTTATTTCCTGGTTATTTCCGCGATTCCCTTTAGCTAACTGGCATGCGTTTATCATATCTCGAATTGCCAAATGTTCAACTAAGCGATCGATGATTAGAGTTAAGGAGTCAACTCTTGAACGCAATATTTCCATCTCATTGTCTTCACAAGAACTCTACAATAAATTTAACAGAGGAATGATACAATTAAATGGAAGATAAGAAAAAAATAAGGTTGTTTATTATCACTTTGTATGCAGAATAATCAGTAGAAGGAAAATATTTTCATCCTACATAAAGCTTTACATCACAAACATCTTGTGATAAATATTTGAAAATAAAACCTATGTTTAAAGCTATTGTGAAGGATCTGGATTGCCATAGAGGTTTTCTTTAGTAGATAAATATAAATGGGAAGTTGTGGTAGGCTTATAATAAGTCCTTAATAACACGGAGCTACAGACACTGGTAATTCGAACAATGACTGATAACTGCTATTTTTTCGTAGCGGTTACGATTGCATATAGCAACCACCTAGATAAAGCGTCTATATAGAGAATCATTTGACTGGGGTTATGAAACAGTCATCTAGAATGGAGGACGCACAGTTCTTAGGAATTTTACTCAATCGATATCTACGATGTCAGTCAGTCAATCAGTACCCGGAATTACTGTGTAACGGTCCTGGTTCCCACACCTCATCTCACAATACCACGCGAGAATGCCCTAAGAAGTAGGTAGGAAGGTATTCAAAAGTGACAATGTTACGTGACGAGAACAAAGATAGAATAGTGAAATTCTGCATGACAATTAAGATGAAGATAATATGTGGACGCATCTATACCATTAACATCGATTTTGAGTTAAGGACCTATAAGCACTGATTTGTTTTCACGCGGACCCCAACCGGGAAGTCGGCACTTTTCTACACGGTTTGAACGAAGTCAGACTTTATAAACTGATGCCATGTTTTAATCTGATCATCTATCCACTTCAGCTAACATTATTCGACGGGATAAACGGTAACTAGTCATGTGCAACGCATGTCTCAGCCACTATATCCGATGAATTTCGTTTTGGTCGGTTTATTAGATATATCACAGCGGAACAGTATTGTCTACTGGATTGCACTTCGGATATAATTTCTTGTCCAGTCATCTTTATGTGACTGTGGCAACGAATTATGTGAGTGATATATCCATTAAATCAACTAAAATGGAATAATATCCCACCACGATGCCTAACTTTTTACTCTTATATTGACAGAATCGATGGAGGCTTAAAACCATATTAACTGACACGCTTCTTTCACCTAAAAATCTACGCCCGAATCCTGCACTGCTGATGTGGTGGTCCCAAGACACATGGACTGTGCTACTAAACATCTGAAACCTGTCGTCTACCTTTAATGGCCATGTTTCACGTTGACTGCAACGCAATACAGCCGACCCTTAGTGAGAAATCAGATATCAAGCTGGCGCCATAAATGCCGTAAATTAGCACAATTGAAGTGAGCCTTTTCTATCGACGCTTAGACTTTGCCGGTCACTGACCCAAAAGAGCTTATGTGACTACCAAAGTGGGCGAAGTGATCACCATTTTAATCCCTAATGTAGGCGAAGCACCAACACAGATAAGTCTCGAACCCATGCACTTTTGTGCAAGGTTCTATCTATCCATTTAATGAGTATTGATAAACAATTGAATTCCCAAAATCGCACTTGACAAATTTTACCCTTCGTATTATCACTAACGTTAAACTCTTCCAATAAGATAGTTCAGTTTTAGTGTAAAAACGTATCAAGGAAGAAGATAAAGCTAATAATGACATACGAATATACATAGACAAAAAATTTCAAAACCTTTAATTGTATAGACATTATTCTGTAACACTGTTTTCACTGATTAAGTAGGGATACATGGAGTTGTGGCTCATTGATTAGAGAAGACTAATGGGTCAAGAGTTCAAGCATCCCTTCAAGGTTTGGGCAACCAGGTAGTTCTACTAGCCGTCACACAGATGTGACTCGTTGTCTACTGCACGAATGTGCCTAAAGTTGCTGAATAGATTTCGATCTAAATAGGGACAATCACAAAAGATGGACAGCTCGACATCAATCCATACTTCATTCACCCGGTTTATTAGGTCAGTTTTCACTGGTCAATGCAGTAAAAAGGCAGTGCGACAATCCCGAACAATCGTGCATACTAAGTTATGAGTAAAACCGAAGAGCGGGTTTGGACGCGTAACCGAGTGATATAGTAGTTGAGTCCCCAGATTAATGAACTACAACTTTAATACTAATTAGCTTTTATAATTACAACTTTTGGTGGATCCATAATTTACGAAAATGCACAGAATTTGTAGAAAAACTGATACCAATACTGTCAAGTACGTAAAAAACAATATGACTCACACTGAAGTCGTGGCTTTCAAGAAATGCGAACTCAGCAATTCGACTCTCACGTATAAATTCATTGTCCAAAGGGCATGCACTGATAGGAAGAACTGCATCTTCGACACACTGAAATGAAACAAAATCCATGACTGACCAAACAAAAATAATGTCTACGAATAACCGGTCAGAATGACAAATATAGATTTGTCCAGGACCACGCAAAGTAATAAAAGTAATAGCACATATCTTGAGTTTGATCAGCTACGGGTTTCACAAGCAAACCAAGTGACAGCCTAGTGGACTGCACCTATAGATTTGAAGTCAGAAAGGAACAAGATTAGATAGTATACACTATTGAGCTAAAATCCGTCGAGTGATATTGAGGGAAATCGCATGCGTATAGCAAAATACGCTTAACACTTAGAAACAATCCAACGGAGATCAAGCGAATAAATAACACAACTAATACAGTCAGTATACTTCCACAACCCGATGACTAAATCACTCTGGATAATACTACAGGTTGAAGCTTTATGTGTCATTAGTACTAACATCGGGGTACAAATTTATTCAACTCATCAAACAGGAATGTGCACAGCAGCATGGCTGGAAGGAAGAATCAGTGAGTTACAATACCCTAGCACTAGGAGAAATGTGACAGCAAACTAAATTCGACTGTATGGAGGATACCCAAAGAATTCGTTAACATTTCAAAATGGTCCGGCAGCGCAATATCTAGGTGAATTGAAACTATGCAGTCATAACTTTATGACAGCCACTGCTATGTATCTGACATGTTACAATGTCACACATATTAAGGTTTCACATACCTTTACTTGTTTTGTCGAAGGCAATGACACCTAATCTATAGCAAAAACAACTTAATATTTGATGAGTTTGGACTATTAACATAAGGCCTTATTTACACACGTTGAAATACCTGAGATAGTCTGCTGGTTTTAGCTAAAAAAATATTTTAGCCTTCGGATTCTTAAAACCCAGTGACAATAACTACTCAAAACTAAGAGTCCTCATAGAACACCCACAAAACATAAAAGGAGAGACATGGTGATAGGGAGCCAAACGACCTATCAGTTCTTCGACGTGAAAATCTCAAACATCCAATCAACCACATTGGAGCTGAGAATGGAGAGTATTCTAGTCAAACGTCTCCAAATATTAAATTACTTACAGTTTTACAAAACTGGTGTCCACAAGAAGCAGCGAGAGCAGCACCACACTCCTTTTGGCACAGGCTGCACAGCAATGGGTTATTTGGGTCAGGAACACCGTATACACTGGAAGTAAAGAGAGGGAAAACATTCCCACCTTTTGCTTGTAACCAAAAAATCGTCACTGTCTGTGCCTGAAACGAGTTCTTGTGGTTTATTATGCCGATTCCCATAGTTTCTTCGTCCCCTACGACCCATGTTGGTTCAAACCAGTTACGCGTACCGAATTTTATATTCAGCGAGGCGCCAGTTAACTACATCGAAGACAATCGTGCCAGTAAAAGTAATTATTAGTTTTTAAACTCCTGCGTCTTTTTACTGAAGCTAATTTTTTCATTTCGTTAATTTTTAAATATCTACATATGTAAGGTACCTACTTAATACTAGCTTAAAGATCCAGCGTTCATTTTCTATAGTGTGAGCATGAAAACCGATGAACCATGAACTCTCACATCTGTTTATTGGGTATCGGGCCCTATTATTTCGCTTCGCACTTGTAGTGGGCATGGAACATCTGACAACCCGTTTCTGGCTTTGAGGTAATGAATATTTTTGTGGATTAGCTTTTTCAACTTGTTGAATTGGTAAAGAGGCTAAGAACTGCAGGGATGAATATCAGCCTATTGCGACGGCTGCCTGTAAAGATGCCTGAATGAGAAGTGCAATGTATCTGGAAAATGAATACGGAGTATTTCCTGAGTATAAAGGCAGATAATAGGAATCTTGCTAAGGGAGAAGCGTTAGAAGAAAGTCCTGGTGTATTAAAGCATACAAAGAGTAACCGATAACGGTAGGTGGTAGTGAGCTGTTGGGACTTATTGAGACCTGTTACGTCATCGTTATGCCGCAACATGGGTGAAATTCTAAGATAACTTTAAAATGGGCTGACGCCGGCGAGTAATCTCCTAAACTCAGTGGCCCAGGGTTCAACGTTATCCGACATCGACGCCCGTCTTCATAGTTCAAAAGAACTTGCTAGGCTAAAGGAGCATGGCCAAGCATCCGCGCCACTTAGCACGTTTTCGCGTAAGATCCCCTGGCCAGCCAGTCCCAACGCATTGGCAGCTTGGCACAAATGACTAAATATACTATTCCACCTAGCCACTCTAATATGGCCTTCGTAGTTCTCCCACTCGTGGGTCTATGACAAGTACGGACCGTCTTCTTTGTCTCAAGTGTGAGCAAAATAGCAAACTTCTAAACCGATGAGCTCTTTTCTTCTTGTGTTTGTGCATTCCTGTTTCTGTAGCGGTAAATTTTGTTTGCTAAAGTCGAAAAATTCTGCATCCATGTATGACCAGACTTCTTAACTCATGCGCGATCAACTGGCAACACACACGACCCGTCTCGTGTAATTCTGGCCCGACGATACAGAAACGTGGTTTCTGTACGCCAAGACCGACGGTCGAGGGCAGGGTTCACAGATCCGCACTTTTGATTTCTTACTGCCATAAGATCATCCCCGCGCAAATTAAATGGGCACGCCACAGCACGCACCCTGTACCCTGCAGCAAGTGTCCATATGAACTTCTGAAGGCAGCTTTTTTGGAGAAGGGTGATCTGGAGACTCAGTTGAATTGTTTCATAACATCCAGCCAAGTAACGGCTCAACAACTGACGTGTTCGCATGTATGCAAGAAGTCAGTCTGGTAACTTTTCTTTTTGAAACCGCCGCAGCCACTGCGGACCGTGCTGGCAACACTTGTCGGTAGCAGTAGATGACTTGGCGGTTTCGGCTGATAAAATACTGGCAATCTCTAGTGGACCTGTCTCAATGGTATGTTCTGCCACCGGAAAGGTTAAGGGTCAGGGTTAGGAGCTTCCAAGGACCCGAAGCCCTAGGTCACCACATGCGACGCATTAAGGCGTTAAATGAGTATGGGATTCCGCTCTTCTGCACCACTGCCGCTACTTCGAGCGAGATACCTTTGTTTTCTAAAAGGAAGTGTTATGCTGTTTTAGTATTGCCAACAGCCTGGGGATACTCGAATCACGAAACTTTTGCGACTTATCGTGTTGCTACGTTTCGTGAGAAAGCGCCTGAGCCAACTCATAAGTACCAGAGTTTTTAATCGGACAAAAGTCCAAAAGAATGTTCCGATAAAAAAGGCCTGTAAATAGCTTAGATCACTATGAATATGTAAAACCTACTTACTTCGTGTAGATTTATGGCCTTGAAGTATATGTTTTTGTCATCATCAAGAACCTGAGGAGCTACCAAGTGATGTAATCTAAGGGCTATTTGCAAATCCCGTGGTGACTGGGCTCCATTTTTCATCTGTTACCTAAGGTGATCCCTTCCATTTGGACACTAAGTTAGTTACTTCAAATCATCAACACTGTAACACCATCCGTATTTATATACTATAATCACACTATCTTGTCCTCAGGGCTGTGTTTGCTTGCACTTACAGACGTGTATTGTTATCACAGTGGTTACTGCCAACTGTTTGCACACATATATGTGATTCAGGTTATATCAGCTGTTCACCACATGGACATGACGAGTGGCGACAAGGTTATGACAAACGGTGACAGGGTTGTAACAGCTGGAGACGGCTGAAAAGCGATAAGACTTCGTAATCAAGAATTTCAAGCATTTAGGCAGCACCATGAAGAAATAATCCTAGAAGCAACACTGAAGACGTTTAATCAAACTTTGACTGAGATCCGTCCAGAATCTTCATCCATAAATCCTCAGAATGCAGCAAATACTTCAGCGATGCATAAAGTGGAGATTAAACTGAGTTGGTGAAGCCGGTAATATGGATCATATCGCACTTATCATTGAGTATGACAGTAACGCCTCAACTACCTGTCATGGAATAATGGGTGATACCGCCATCCTATTAGAGCACGTTTTTTAAAGTTGCGAGGAACTTAACGAAGGTTTTGCAGAGGGTAAGACACGTTTAGTGTCACCCAGCCCTTTTGAAACCATCCTTCATAACCGATGCTAGAGCGAAATTCTCAAATAGTCCCAATGCAGGCTCAAGCACCAACGTCAACAAATACACAGGTACTCAGGGAAGTTCAAAACCCCCTTAAACACTTCGAATATGAGAGTTGCTCGGCATGATAGTTGACTACCATATCAAAGGCAATTTTTGTCAAATAGCATCGTCCTCGAGCCAGCTCAGTCGCAGAAATAACATCTGTTAGCTAGCAAGAAAATGGAAACTCCGAACCGGCCCGAATTTACAGGTCACTCACAACGCACGAGGCAGTCAGAGGTTCATCACCGAGCTAGTGTTCTCTGGTGATAGCAGTGCAACTTGCCGAGTAACGGGGGACCCTGCCAGTCCAGTCAACCATTCCTAAACTTTCTTGACATAAAGCGGACACAAGACCTCAGGCTATCACTAGCGAAACCGAAGCTTGCTTACAAGCAGAATCAAAAGAGTATGGTATCGATCCGTCCACTGACTTTTAATGGCTGGCCCAGCTGCATTTCTAGGGAGCATAAGCCATCTGCCTATCTTTAGGATCAGTCTTCTGTAAGTTACCTGGAGTTTTTCAACAAACTTTCTGAAGCCTACACTGGCTAATCTAAGCGGGTGGTGATAACATACTACAGATTGTTACAGACGAGTGTGTCAATAATTCAGGTGTCTGCCGCGGCCTAAGTTAGTTTGGTTTATTGAGTCTGGCAGGTTTGTGTAACCCTCCCGACGCCAGAAATCCCATGGTAACTAATAAAAATACATAACTGGTTAACGTGACCTTTGAGGATTTTGCAAAGTTAGACCCCAACAACACTGAAATTCGGCAATAGAGTCGATGAAAGATGCTTTTACAAATCCTTATCAGGAGGAGGACGGGGTTCATCAAATACTCCCCTTCAGGGTATCAGCAAATCATCTCCTGGATTACCAGCCATCATGAATTCAGTCCGGTCACTTCAGAATACGCCACAACTCGGACTCATCAGAAGAATATTCGAGAATAATTTTGCATGATGCAGTAGAAGCTCGCCAGTCAATCATTACTCATCTCCATTGCAATGAGGAGTCGTTACAGTGTGAGTTAAGATGACCAACACATTACTATGGGGCTCTAACTCCTGAAAGCCCTTACAACCAGTCATGTTGCACTGCCGTTTTGAGAGGAAGAATCTGAGCAAGTGCGCCAATATCAGATTAGTTGAAGAGACAAAAGTCAGCACAACATTCAAATCTACAAAGGCCTGCAGAATATCCAAGGTTATTGCAAATACGTAAAAACCATTGTATTTCGCATGCGTTTTTGATATTAAATAAATAAATAAATAAATATTTCACTCTCAAGTTAGTAAGTTAACATGAGAGGAGACAGTTTGAAGGTATCATCAAACTGATATATGTTGAAAAATCCACGAGATCTTACGGGTCTCGAATGGTACAGTGGATATGCCATTAAACTCTGTTAAAAACATCAGAGGATCCTGTTGGTTAAAGTTTGAATAATGCTGATTCTTATTGTCAAGTAACAGAACTACGTGGGCAAATCCAGTTTACGACCATCGTCGAATTGACAATTCTTGGGAGTTTGCAAAATGGTATTTTGTATTAAATAATTCACATGTCAGGTCATTGTTTTGAGCAATCTTATGTAGCCTTCCTGAAATTCATGAAACGGACATGAATTTTCACCACCCATCGCACAGACAAGTTCCACTATTGGGAAAAACAGCGCACAACGTTCAAAGTCGCATTATAAACAGCTGATGTTGTCAGCCCATTTGCACGGTTTGTTGCTTAACAATATAACCGTCTATTTATCAGAAAGTCCTTCAGGTTTCAGCTTTACTAACCACAAAGGACCCACATGTACAAACTGTAGCATCACAACATAAGTTGCGTGAGAACAAACCAGTTCACAGGTTTGGTCATTTTGGCAACGTCAACTGACTGTTATGTACAATGTCAAGCGATGCAATAGACGCAGTTTCCCCCGGTACGTAAAAGATACGTCCAGAGAAAAAACGCTAATGCTTCGCAGACAGCAAAGAATGAAGCAGATAAACACCAGCATAATTACTCATCATATTGAAGCAGGCTCAGTTTGGAAGTAGGAATTATTCGGCTATTGTTCGGATCTTCCAGTATTCTTGAGGATAGGGCGGGTGGTACAGCCATGACCTTGGGTTGTACGTGTTCGTCATAAAGTTTTGATGGTATAGCGCACGCTGACAACTTAGACGACTGGGATTCCATATG